GCTCGGGCGCCTTGCGGGCTCCAGGCGGGGAGCTGCGCCTCGGGACCCGCGGCCTCCCGCCTGGCCGGCTTCGGACCGAGGTACCCGGAGGGGAGCAAGAATGACTGAACCCGCCGGACTGGCCTTCGCTGGGAGGACGGCCTCGGATTTTCAGTTTTTCAAAAAGGTAAAATGATTGGGGGCGGGGGTGGGGTTGGTGTTTTGCGTTCTGTAGGAAAAGGCGGATCTTTTAGCAATGAGATGAGTTATTGATAAAAACAAACAGATTTAGCATCTCTGGTTCCTCCGCCTTGCACTCCGAGGCTGGAGTGTAGCAGGAGGCAGCCACCGTATTTTCCTTTTGAGGTGGCTGCAGATAAAAGGCCAGGGGAACTTGCTGGGTATGGGACAAGGGCCCGGAAGGTGGGTCAGAGGAGCGGTCTGCGGGGCCTGGGCCGGGGTTACCCAGGCCTGTTCCTTAAGGCCCAGGGCCTGCCTGCCCCTGCACGGTCTCTTGAAATGTGGCATCTAACAGGACTTTGAAGAGAGGCCTGATGAGTGTCAGGTGCTCCAACTGTGGCCTCCTACACTTCTGTCCACAGATGGGGTGGATGGTTTCTCTCCTTTGTCCCAGCCCCTCACACTTGCCCCTAGAGCTGGGGACTGGCCAGTGAGAACAGCCACACCTAGAGAAGGCCGGTTCTCCAGTCAAGCAGCTGATAAGCGGTCTTCTGTCTGTCTCTGTCACCACCAATGCTCTGGAGACCTCTCCCTCACGTGGGAATCTTTTTGGATACCATCCAACTTGATGAAATGGTCGCATGAAGTTACATGCTTCAGGTTGGGAACAGAAACCTGAACTCACTTGTGCAGCATACCTGGGTTCTGCCAGGGAGCTGGAATTTGGTCCAAAGGCTTGTTCCTCAACTGACACTGACAGGAGGAGGGAAGGGGACAACTTGGTGGGCTGTTCTGAACCTCCCTGTGGGCCCCTTGCAGGGAGGGCCAGTCCTGGTCAACAGGGTTTACCACTTGCAGTGCCATCTGTCACTAGGCCTCCTACCTCTAGAGAGGATTTTGTGGGGTCTGATGTCCCAGGCTCTGAAGCTGGAGAAACACTACCAAGAAGCAATGACTTATCCATGGGAAAGAAAACACCAGTATGTTCTAAACTGCTATTCTTTTAGGTGTGAAAACTAGTGTTGGTTTTTCACAATTTTGCACCTGGGAAGATAGGTCTTATCAGTATGTAGTCGTCTCTAAAATACTTTGAAGAGACGTCAGTCAAATCCCTACCTCCCATTTTTATTTTAAAGAAAATCCTTTTGTGGCAAAAACTTAAAATGGGCATTTGACCAAACCAAGGACATCATCTCTTAAAAGTATCTCCAAAGTTTCTAGGGAGGAAATGGGAGACCTGGTGTAAGGGAGAGCTGTGAGCCTGGTGGAGTGGATCTCTCTCTTGCTACTTTATAGATAAGAAAGAGTGGAAAGGGGGACTTCTTTCTTTAGAAAACAGCAGAAACAGAGAACAAAGCAGAACAAGGTCTGTAACGGTAGTGCTTCAGGAGAGCTCCTGGGTCAGTCTTGTCTCCGTTGGGATCTCTGGCGCTCCCTTGCCTACGGTGTGTGCATGGCCTGTTTGCAAACTGTGTGAGGGTTTCCTTGGCAGCCAGAACAATTAGCACTAAGGACACGCCTGAGCTCCTGGGACGGCACTGCTGAAGTTAGCTGGGAGTCAGGGCAGGCTTGTAAATGATTGCCTGGCAGCTGCCTGGGAAGCTTGGCTCCTCCAAGTGCTCCTTGTGGCTTGGCAGCATTCTTGAGGAAGCAGAACAGACAGCAAGGTGGCAGCGGTGGTGGTGTAGTCTATCTGTTAATTTATGTTAAAAAAATCAGCCAGAATTTTGTTTAAAAAAATCAGCTCTTTGGTCATTTTTGTGGATGTTCTCTTTGACAGATTATAGGTGGGCAGGTTTCAGAAGAATTGTAAAGTTTCCAGGAGTTGTTTCACTGTGGAATGGCTGCCTTGTGAGGTAGTGAGCATCCCGTCACTGGGAGTGTGCAAAGCTAGGTGGTAGACAGGCTTGCTTTCTTGGCCGTGGGATTGCCCCAGGTAGAAACTGTCTCTTCAATAATGAAGTGAGTTTGGAATGCTAGCGTAAATATTCTTTTGGGTCCCACTAATTCATGACAATGGTCTAGGATTGGGAAGATCCTGGGACCCATCAAAACATCTAGAGATGGTTAATAGTTCTAGATTTCCTAATGACGGTGAGTCATTTAATTTATTTATTTATTTTTAATTTTATTTTTAATTGCTTGTGGGATCTTAGTTCCCCAATCAGGGATTGAACCCGCGCCCCCTGCAGTGGAAGCACAGAGTCTTAACCACTGGTCTGCCAGGGAAGTTCCACAGTGAGTCATTTTTGCCTTGTGTTTCTATTCCCAGATGTGGGAAAAGAAGTCTGCTGATAATTCAATCTGCAGAAAGTACGGCGTGCCTGCCCTCTGGGATGTGTAGTTTCCAGGTAACCAGCAGCATTCTCGTTTGGCTTTGTCTTCTGCCCATCCCAACCAGGACCCAAGCTGTGGAGCTGAGTTGTATTTGGCTAAGTTCTGCCAGGATACAGGGAGACTTTAGGGTCTCCAGCACAGACCCTGTTGCGATTTGCTGTAAACTCTTTCAGTCCTTGCAGTTTGGTCAAGAAATCTCAGGTATTGTAATTTACAAAATGGGAAGGGATTTATGTATTATCATCAGCATCATTGGGAGGTCGTTTGGCATAATTAGAAGTTTTGGAGTCAGAACTTGATTTGGATCTTGGCTTCCTTACTTAGTAACTGAAGGACCTGGGGCAGGTCCCTTAGCTTCTCTGAGCCTGTTTGTACATCTATCAGATGAGGCAAATCATAGCTACATACAAGGTTGTATGATGGCTAGAAATAGAAATATTAAAGGCTGGCACAGTGCCTGGTGCACGGATACTTAATAAATTATAGCTGCTATCATCCTCATCAACTTCAGTTCCCACAGTTCAGGGTATATGCCCAGCAGTGGGATTGCTGGGTCATATGGTAGTTCTATTTTTAGTTTTTTAAGGAACCTCATACTGTTCTCCATAGTGGCTGTATCAATTTACATTCCCATGAACAGTGCGAAAGGTTCCAAAAGGGAACCCTCCACACCCTTTCTAGCATTTACTGTTTGTAGATTTTTTGATGATGGCCATTCTGACCGGTGTGAGGTGATACCTCATTGTAGTTTTGATTTGCATTTCTCTAATAATTAGTTATGTTGAGCATCTTTTCATGTGCCTCTTGGCCATCTGTATGTCTTCTTTGGTGAAATGTCTATTTGGGTCTTACACCTAGTTTTTAATTGGGTTGTTTGTTTTTTTGATATTGAGCCCCATGAGCTGTTTGTATATTTTGGAGATTAATCCTTTGTCCGTTGCTTCATTTGCAAATATTTTCTACTATTCTGAGGGTTGTCTTTTCATCTTATGATTTCCTTTGCTGTTTTAAGTTTTAAGTTTAATTAGGTCCCATATTTTTTAAGTTTTAAGTTTAATTAGGTCCCATTATTTTCATTACTCTAGGAGATGGGTCAAAAAAGATCTTACTGTGGTTTTTGTCAGAGAGTGTATCCCATTGTTCATTGCAGCACTATTGACAATAGCCAGGACATAGAAACAACCTAAATGTCCAACGATAGATGAATGGATAAAGAAGATGTGGTACATATGTATGATTACAATGGAATATTACTAAACCATAAAAAGGAATGAAATTGGGTCATTTGTAGAGATGTGGATGGACCTAGAGTCTGTCATACAGAGTGAAGTGAGCCAGAAAGAGAAAAACAAATATCATATATTAACGCATATATATGGAATCTAGAAAGATGGTACAGATGAACCTATTTGTAGGGCAGGAATAGAGATGTAGACGTAGAGAATGGACACGTGGACACGGGGAAAGGGGAGGGTGGGACGAATTGGGAGATTATGTTTGACATAAATGCACTACCATGTGTAAAATAGATAGCTAGTGGGAACCTGCTGTATAGCACAGGGAGCTCAACTCGGTGCTGTGTGATGACCTAGATGGGTGGGACGGGGGGTGGGTGGGAGGGAGATTCAAGAGGGAGGGGATATAGGTATACATATAGCTGATTCACTTCATTGTACAGCAGAAACTATCACTACATTGTAAAGCAATTTTACTCCAATTAAAAAAAAATTTCCACAGTTCTGCTCACCATTTGATGTCAGAACCCTAGGACTTCTGAGAATTGGACTCTTGGGGTTCTAGTGACAAAAATGGGTGATACTTTTGGGATTTAGTAAAAACTCAGGAACTCAGATCCCTGATTCAGAATTCTGTATAACTGGGAGTGGGGCTCCCACCTTGGGTATTTACAGACTGTGCTCAGAGTGTAAACATGAGGGTTTATGGGCTGCTCAGGAAGCCAGCTAGAACACTGCTGCCACCTCTTGACAGTCAGTGTGGGACGACACTCACTGATGAGCCTGCGCTCACCCACGAGGGCTCCTGCCCTCTAAGCTTTCATTAGCGGCCTGGAGGATTAGGCTATGGACACAGATGGTCAACACATCAAGCATTTTACTAAGTCTAAATGGCGTTTCTCTCCAAGGAGTACAACTTAAGTGCCCCTAAGTCCATTCTTACTCTTTATCCTAATTCTTGTTGGTTCGTAGCCTCAGTTCCCCAAGACCCCGAGAATATAGAATCTTGAAGCAGATATTCTAAGATTTTGACAGTTCCATTCAGGTCAATAGCAATCTGGGCTGCGGGTAATATGCTAAGGGCTGGAATCCAACAGATGTGAATAAGCCATGGTCTCAGCCCCTGTGGAGCTCACAGCTGGGGATGTGGTGGGACAGGGGTGGGGGCAGAAAGGACACAGAAGTGTCCTGTATGGCCCCTCCTTGGGGCTCCCTGTCCTAGCTCCTTCCCTGGCACTTAATTCTCTGGGGGGTAATTTGGTGTATTTTTCTGACTTTCTGGAGAACAAAATCTGGAGCCAGACCCCAACACTTAACTAGTCGTGTGATTGTGGGAAAGTCATTTGCCCTCTTTATTCACCTTGAAATTTCTTCATCTGTCCACTGGGTTGTTGTGGGAATCAAATGGGATAATTCATGCGAAGTCTTATAACTGTGTGTGAAGCACACAGTTCTAGAAGTGTTCACTATTTTTATTAACAACGGCAGGGGGGACGTCCCTGGTGGCACAGTGCATAAGCATCTGCTTGCCAATGCAGGGGACATGGGTTCGAGCCCTGGTCTGGGAAGATCCCCCATGCCGCGGAGCAGCTAAGCCCATGCGCCACAACTACTGAGCCTGCGCTCTAGAGCCCGCAAGCCACGACTACTGAGCTTGTGTGCCACAACTAATGAAGGCCATGCACCTAGAGCCTGTGCTCCGCAACAAGAGAAGCCACCGCAACGAGAAGCCTGTGCACCGCAACGAAGAGTAGACCCCGCTTGCTGCAGCTAGAGAAAGCCTGCATGCAGCAACAAAGACCCAACGCAGCCAAAAACAAACAAACAAACAGAAACAATGGCAGGGACTGTTGCCTGGCAGGGACTGTTGCCTGGGTCACCATCCGTCCCAAGGGCCAGTCACGGTGCCTGGCCCTTAGTAGGGCTTCAGGAGCCATATGTTGGTGGGATGGGTGAATGAATGTTGCACAGCCACCCAGCACAGACCAGAGTGTGGTGAGGGCGACCGAAGGAGTGTATGCTCTGTGCTCTGGGAGCCCAGGGGAGAGGCTAGGGATTCTGTCTATGGGCCTGGGAGGTATTTATGGTGGCATTCATATCTGAGCAAGGCCTTGAGCATGCGTTCACCTGCACAAGGAAGCAGAAGGAAGTGGCGGAGGGCCATCTATCCCAAGAGGCAGCATGGCATAGTGGCTCAGAGCGCAACTCTGTAACCAGGCTGCGTGGGTTGGATCCTGCTTCCTGCACCTGGGGCAAGCTTCTTCACTTCTTTGTGGCTGAGATAATAATAGTACCTCCTTGAAGGGTTGTTGTGAGGATTACCTTAGTTATTCTTTATAAAGCATTTAAAAACAGTGCTTATGAGTAAATAGCCCATAGATATGAAAGTATGGACAGCAAGTAAATGGTAGGTGGGAGATGCAGCTAGAAAGGTAGTTTGGAAACAGTTCATAGAGGTCTTTGACTATCTTCTTTTTTATTGAATTATATTTGACTTACAATATTATATTAGTTTCAGGTATATAACATAGTGATTCAGTATTTTTATACATTACAGAATGATCTCCACAATAAGTCTAGTTACCGTCTGTCACCATACAAAGTTATTACAATATTACTGACTACATTCCTTATGCTGTACATGACATCCCAGTGACTTATTTGATAACTAAAGTTTGTACCTCTTAATCTCTCTCACCTATTGCACTCATCCCTCTGCCCCCTCCCCTTTGGCACTCACCAGTTTGTTCTCTGTATCTATGAGTCTGTTTCTATTTTGTTATGTTTGTTCATTTGTTTTGTCTCTTAGATTCCACATGTAAGTGAAATCATACAGTATTTGTCTTTCTCTGATTTATTTCACCTAGCATAATACCTTCCATGTCCATCGATGTTGTCGCAAATGGCAAGATTTCATTATTTTTTATGGCTGAGTAATTATCTATCTATCTATATCTTCTTTATCCATTCATCTGTTGATGGACACTTAGGGTGCTTCCATATGTTGGCTATTGTAAGTAATGCTGCAATGAACATAGGACTGCATTTATGTTTTTGAATTAGTGCTTTTGTTTTCTTCAGAAAAATACCCAGAAGTGGAATTTCTGGATTGTATGGTAGTTCTATGTTTAGTTTTTTGAGGACCCTCCATACTGTTTTCCATAAAGCTGTACTAATTTACAGTCCCACCAACAGTGCATGAGGGCTCACTTTTCTCCACATCCTCCAACACTTGTTATTTCTTGTCTTTCTGATAATAGCCATTCTGACAGGTGTGAGGTGATATCTCCCTGTGGTTTTGATTTGCATTTCTCTGATGATGAGTGATGTTGAGCATCTTTTCATGTGGTGCCACTCCCCTCTGGCCTGCAAAGTTCTGCTGAAAAGTCAGGTCATAGTTTTAGGGGCGTTCCCTGTACACAACTAGTTGCTTTCCTCTTGCTGCATTTAAGATTCTCTCGTTATCTTGAATTTTTGCCATTTTTAATTATAATGTGTCTTGGTATGGAACTCTTTGGGTTCATCTTGTTTGGGACTCTCTGTGCTTCCTGGACCTGGATATCTGTTTTCTTTTCCAGGTTAGGGAAATTTTCAGCTATTATTTCTGCAGTTAATTTCTCTTCCCCTTTGTCTCTCTTCTCCTTCTGGGACTCCTATATTGTGAATGTTAGTACACTTGATCTTGTCCAAGAGGTCTCTTAAACGGTCCTCATTTTTTAAAATTATTTTTTAGTTTTCACCTTGGGTGATTTCCACTACTCTGTCTTCCGGTTCATTGATCCATTCCTCTGTATCATCTAATCTACTGTTGATTCCCTTCTAGTGTGTTTTTATTTCAGTTATTGTATTCTTCAGATATATTTGGTTCTTCTTTATATTTTCTAACTCTTTGTTAAACTTCTTACTGTGTTCATCCATTCTTCTCCTGAGTTTGTGGAGCATCTTTATGATCATGACCTTGAACTCTTTATTGGGTAGATTGCTTATCTCCACTCATTTCTTTTGGAGTTTTGTCTTGTTCCTTCATTTGAAACGTATTTCTCTGTCTCCTCATTTTGTCTAATTCTCTGTGTTTATTTCTATGTATTAGGTAGGTCAGTTTTGTTTCTAGATCTTGGAGAAGTGGCCTCATGTAGGAAACGTCCTATGGAGCCTAGTACCACACTCCCTTCTGGTCCCCAGAGCTATATGCTCCATGGGTGCCAGCCATGTGGGCTGAGTGGGCCCTTCTGTGCAGCTGGGCTGGCTGCTGTGAGTGTGCTGGTAGGCGTGGCTGGCCCTGCCTCATGTGGTGGCTGCCAGCCCCCTGGTGATCGGGGTTGAGTCCTGCGGCAGCTGGCTGTGGGGGCCAGAGGGGCCCAGGGCTGGTGCCAGCTCTCCCATATGCAAGCCTTGCTGGCCTTCAAAGCCAGGTGTTCTGGGAACTCATCTTCACAGTGCAGGACCTCTGGGCTGGGGAGCCCTGAGGTGGGGCTCAGAACCCTCCCTCCTTGGGGAGAACCTCTGCAGTTGTAATTATCCTCTTGTTTGTGGGTCGCTCACCGAGGGGTGTGGGTCTTGACTAATTTGCATCCCCACTCCTTTTACCCATCTTGTGGTTCCTTCTTTATATCTTTAGTTGGGGAAAACCTTTTTTGCTAGTCTCCAGGTCATTCTTATAGATAGCCAGTGTGTAAATAGTTGTAATTTTAGTGTGTCTGTGGGAGGAGGTGACCTAGGGTCTTCCTACTTCACCATGTTGGCCATACTTGCTTGAATAGCTACTTAGTGAATTTGGAATTAGCCCACGAGGAACACAGAACATCACTTCCCATATGGCTGAAGCTCAGTGGTGGCTGCCCCTTGTAAACAGGGCATGCACTTCCCATTTTGCCACAGTCCTTAATACTCCCTATGCCAGTACTCCCTACTGCAATGGTTCTGAAGCAGTTAGTCTGGAGATCTGCATTTTTTTTTTTTTTTTTTTTTTGCGGTACATGGGCCTCTCACTGTTGTGGCCTCTCCCGTTGCGGAGCACAGGCTCCGGACGCGCAGGCTCAGCAGCCATGGCTCATGGGCCCAGCTACTCCGCGGCATGCGGGATCCTCCCGGACCGGGGCACGAACCCGTGTCCCCTGCATCGGCAGGCGGACTCTCAACCACTGCGCCACCAGGGAAGCCCGAGATCTGCATTTCTAACGAGTGTCCAGTTGATGCTGATGCTGCTGGTCAGTGACTACACTTTGAGAACCACTGCCCACGTGTATCTCGGACACTAAGATAGGGAATCAGTTGCCACTTATCATCAAGCTTTTATTTGGTTTCTCTTACACCTGGCATGTTTCCTACATTTAATAGTACCTTCCTGGTCCTGGTGGAATTTAGATTTGCAATTTCTGGTATAATCAGTATTGGAAGGCTAAGTCTAAAGGTCTCAAGAGACAGGCCTGTGAGAAGGAGATTTGGGAGTGGCTGAGGCTCAGCCAATAGCAGGCCTATGGTAGCTGAAGCTATGGTTACGTGTGAGCTCATCCCCAGGCAGAGTGTGCAGGGAGAGATGGGTGATGGGTGAACAGCATACTGTCACAGGGGCACTGGCACACCCTGCCTTAAAGGAAGGGTGCAAGGATAGTAGGCTCTTCCTTGTTCAAGGAAGAGGCTGGAAGGGGCATTCGAAGAGGTGGATGGAGAGCTGAGAGAGTGGCTGGTGGAACATTCTTGGCCTTATTATGAGAGAGGGGACTGTGGGCAGACATCTGAGACCAAAGCTTAAATATTAAATAGTTAAACAGCGAGTTCTCAGGTGAGCTCCTCGTCTGTGGGAAGACAGGAAGCAGGTGTCCTGTTACCATGGCCCACAGCAAACCTGGTAACATGCTGTTGCTCCAAAGCACAGCTTGTTGTGGCAATTGTCTCTGAGGCTCCGGTGACACAGTTAGAGCCTGCAGCTGAGCATGATGAGTGTCATGTCACCTGCCTCCTTTTTTAAAAATAATGTGACATATTAAGAGGAATGTGCTGGTCTTCTCCTCATGGCCATGATGGGGATGCTCGTGGCTGGATGGTTTGTTTCTGGAGCATGTGTTGGGGAGGAGTATCTGAGAAAGGGAAACATTGGAGCTGAAATGGAAAAGGTGGATCCGTGGCATCCTGTGGCAGCTTCAAGACCAGGCTAAGGGGTTTGTTTGCACTTGGTACTGGGGCAGCAAGGAGCCATGCTAAGCTGCTGAGGAGGGGGCTCGGGGGCAGGTGTGTGATTAATGCACCTTGGTGGCCCCAGTGCCTGGCACCGGGCCTGGCCAAGCTAAGCATGTTCTAAAGGAGCAGGGGAGGGGGTGAGTGAATGAATGAATGAGCTCGATGGGTAAGGTTTGATGATCTGATCCAAGCACCACAAGCCTGAAGAGGAGGCCCCGTGATCCCCAATACACACGGAGGCTTAAAGATGTAAAGGATCTTGCTCAAGGCTGAGGATCTGAATCCACATTTGTATGTCATAAAGCCCACACCCTTGCTCTGGCTGTGTCAGTGCACAGCATGCACACTACAGGCTCCTGCTGGCCAGCGCGGTACATGGAGCCACACGCACCAGGCCTAACTTCAACCCTCCTCTCATTTTCAGGCCCTCTCTCAGTTCCTGTGCCTGCTGCCGTGGTCTTGGTGGCACCCTTCCCCAGTGGTCAGCCCAGGGCTCCCCCCGTCCATGCAGTCCCACGCTACCACCGCCCAGGGCCTCAGCGACCCCCTCTTTGCGGCCTACACTCTCCCCACCTTCAAGTTCCAACCTCGCCATGAGAGGATGGACTGGAGGCGCATTAGCGCCCTGGACGTGGACCGCGTGGCACGGGAGCTGGATGTGGCCACCCTGCAGGAGAACATCATCAGCGTCACCTTCTGCAACCTGGACCGGGAGGTGTGCGGCAGCTGTGGGCAGCCCGTGGACCCAGCGCTGCTCAAGGTGCTGCGGCTGGCGCAGCTCAGCATTGAGTACCTGCTGCACTGCCAGGACTGCCTGAGCACCAGCGTGGCCCAGCTGGAGGCGCGGCTGCAGGCCAGCCTGGGCCAGCAGGAGCGTGGCCAGCAGGAGCTGGGCCGCCAGGCTGACGAGCTCAGGGGCGTGCGGGAGGAGAGCCGCCGGCGGCGCAAGATGATCAGCGCCCTGCAGCAGCTGCTCCTGCAGACGGGCGTCCACAGCTACCATGCGGTGAGCATCTCTGCGGCGGGGCCGCCGGGAGGGCTGTGGGCCTGGCCGCCGGCCACCGGCCACCCCGGCAGAACCACTGCCTGGCCCCTGAGGCTGCTGTGGCTGTTATCACTGGCGCTGGGAGCAGATTTCAGAGATGCCGCTGGTGGCCAGAGAACCCCAGGGTGTCTCATCAAGTCTATGGCGTGTGTGTGTGTGTGTGTGTGTGTGTGTGTGTGTATGGAGATTGTACATGTGTGGCAGGTGTGTGTATGAGTTCATGTCTCATGTGTGCATGTGTGAACGTATGCAGGGTGTGTATGTTTATGGATGGTGTCTAAGATGTGTCTGTGATTGTTTGGAAGGTACATCTGTGAATGGTATGTGTAGGTATGTATGTAGAGTGTGTGGTGTGTAACGTGCTTGCATGTGACGATATATTTATGGTGTGTGTGTGTGAATGAAGGGTTGTATGTGTGTAAGGGTGTGTGTATTCATAGAGGGCGGGAGTGTGTATATATGAAGGCTGTGTGTGTGTGTAGAGAGTGTGATGTGTAAAGGTGTGTGTAAGAGGTGTGTGACAGGGGACTGGTAGAGCCAGGCCTGTTCTGGAAAAGTGACTCTATTAGTCAACCAAGTGACAGTTCATTCCCCAGAGGGGCATTTGAGCGCGTTTCTTT